ATAGTGCTTGAAGTCTTAATTAGAGCAGTAAGAAACTGAAGGAGATCAAGGGGATACCAATAGAAAGGGAAGACGCTAGAGTATCCTTATTTGCAGGTGATATGGCTGTAATACATAAAAGATCCTAAGAACTATCAGGCAACTTCTAGAGATAAAAATGTTGGTCAAAGTAGCTGGATACAAAACATGCAAAAATCAGTAGCTTTCCTGTATACAAGTGAGAAACACACTGAGAAAGAAGCATGGGAAACAATACCTTTACAAAAAGAAATGTGAGATAACTAACCAAGCACGAGAAAGACTTGTCTAATAGAGACTCTAAGACATTGACGAAGGAAATTGAAGACATCAGAAGATGGGAAGCTCTTCCATGGTCATGGATGGATAGAATTAATGCTGTGAAAATGGATGTCCCACCAAAATCAATGACAAAGTCATTGCACTCCTTATCAAAATCCCAATGCAATTCTTCATCGAAATGAAAATATAATCTTAAATTTCATGTGGAAATAACAAAAACCCAGGATAGTAAGACAATCCTGAACAATAAAAGAACTGCTGGCAATCTTACCATCCTGATTTGAAGCTGTATTACAGAACTCTAGTAATAAAAACAGTGTGGTCTTGGCATAAAAATCAGACATGTTGAGCAGTGGGATCAAATAGAAGACTCAGAAGTTCACACACCTGCAGACACCTGATTTTTGACAGAGAAGCCAAAAACGCACACTTGAGAAAAGACACTATCTCCAACATAAGGTGCTGGCCAAACTGGGTGACGGCATGTGGAAGAATGCATAGAGATCTGCGTCTCTCACTCTCTCAACTCCAAATGGACCAAGGACCTCAAAATAAGCCCTGATACCCTGAGTCTGATAGAAGAGACAATAGGAAACAGACTGGAACTTACTGGCACAGGAAAAGACTTTCTGAATAGGACCCTGATAGCATAGGTGTTAAGGCCAATAATGAAAAGGACTCACGAAGTTAAAAGCTTCTGTATAGCAAAGGACACCATCATTTGAAGAAGCAGTATACAGAATGGGGGAAAACTGAAATCATTATACATCTGTCAGAGGGTTAGTACCTAGAATATACAAAAAACTAAACAAACCTGAACATAAGAAAAGAACCCAGTTTTTAAAATGCAGCATGGAACTTAATCAGGATTTCCATTGCTGTGATAAAATACTGACCAAAAGAAACTTGGGGGAGGGAAGGATTTACTTTATAACTTTCAGGTCACATTCCACCACAAGGGAAGTCGGATGCAGAGGCCTCCATGACTTGCTCAGCCTGTTTTCTTATATAACCCAGGACCGCCTACCCAGGGGTGTACTGCCCCCTGGGGGATGGGCCTACCTCCATCAATCGTTAATTGAGAAAAAGCACTACAGATTTCACACAGGCAATCTGGTGGAGGCGTGTTCTCAGTTAAGATTCTCTCTTTCCCAAATATGTCTAGGTTTGTGTCAAGTTGACAAAAACCTACCAGGACAGAGCTAAACAAAATTCTCAAGACATGAATCACAAATGGCTCAGAAACACTTCAATGTTCAACATCCTTAGCTGTTAGGGAAATGCAAATTAAACTACTCTGATATTTCATCTTATCACAGTATCAGAATGGCCCGGATCAGAACAAATGACAGCTTATGCTGGCGAGGGTGTGGGGAGAGGGTTGCTGGTGCAAGTGCAAACTTGTACAGCCACTATGGAAATCAGTGTGGAGGTTCCTCAGGAAGCCGGAAATAGATCTACCAAGAGCTCCAACTATACCACTCTTGGGCATATACCCAAAAAATTCTACTTCTAACTCCAGAGATACTTGCTCAGCCATGTTCATCATTGCTCTATTCAAATAGCCAAAAATTGGAAACAGCGTAAATGCCTACCAGCTGACAGATGGATAATAAAAATGTGGTACATTTACATAATAGAATATTATTCAGCTGTTAAGAAAACTGAAATGTGCCGGCAAATAGATGAAGCTAGAAACAATCATCATGAATACGGTAACTCACATGCAGAAAGACAAGCAGTGCATATTTCCTCTTACATGTGGAAGCTAGCGTTTACACTTTCAGACATGTGTGATTCATTTTGGGGTTAGGAGAAAAGAAACCATCAATCTCTCCCACCTAGGAGAGCGGTGAACTACAATAATGACCCTTCTGGCAAGATACGCCCACTGGTCCAGTAGTGGTGCATGCTATGGGAGTAACCAAACACTTTTTTTTATTGGATTTAAGGCCCAGTCCATAAGATGGAATGCATACTCGACACTGTTAATGAGCCCAAAACCTGAGACTAGATATAGGTCCCGAGGGGAGCCTATTTCTATTATTCTGCTAAAGAATCATAGTAATAAAATGACTCCTAATGACATATTACTATACCCACAGATCACTCAACCTCCTACTGCTTCTTGAAGTACACGGTAATTAACACAGAGACCCACAGCTGGACTATGTACAGAGCGTGGGAGCCTTTGGAGCACTCAGCCCTCAGTGAAATGGCTCTATCACTCCCCAGCCCAGCTCAGGGCTCTGTGCTGAAGAGGAGGCAGAAAGATCTTACAAGTCAGAGGTGGCAGATAATGCAAGGAAAAACTGTCCTCCAGACACGGGGCCGATGTACATATGAACTCACAGAGACCTTGACAGCTTGTGTAAGACCTGCATAGACTCCAGCTAAACAAAACTCCAGCACAGAGAAGGGGAAGTGGACACAAAGGGTCTCCCTTTCCCAAGAAACTATTCGCTGAGAAAGGAAAAAAATCAGTTTTCTCCAACGGATTGGTAATGAGTCTATCAGTCATATTCCAGGGCAGGCCCCATGCTCAGAAGCAGGTGGCCCACACAAATTGGGCTCCATGTTTTGTTGTTTTGTTTTTAAGAGAGAAGGAACATAAAGTTGGGTGGATAGGGAGGTGGGGGAGGGTCTGGGAGGAACTGGAAGAGGGGAAAGAGTATGATCAAAGTATATTGTTTGAAAATTTCAGAGAATAGATTTAAAAAAATTAAACTTAACTTTGGCATTGGAAGTGGAACTGAGTGGCTGGAGGCATCAATCCCCAGAACTCATAGATTATATTTGAGTTTTATCACCCCTAAGAAATTATAGGGGCTGATGATGCAAAAAACAGAAACGAATACAGTTTTCCTGGCTGACGTCATGGGGGCGGGAGGTCTAATGAAGAATCCTCAGCAGGGACTCCCACTGCAAGTGCATCTTGGTGGACTGGCTGAACTTGGGCTGAACTTGGCTGCCAACAGCCCATGTTTCCCAGGTTCCTTGCTCAGTCTCCCAGGTTCCTTGCTCAGTCTCCCAGGTTCCTTGCTCAAGTCTCCCAGGTTCCTTGCCCAAGTTTCCCAGGTTCCTTGCTCAGTCTCCCAGGTTCCTTGCTCAGTCTCCCAGGTTCCTTGCCCAAGTTTCCCAGGTTCCTTGCTCAGTCTCCCAGGTTCCTTGCTCAAGTCTCCCAGGTTCCTTGCCCAAGTTTCCCAGGTTCCTTGCTCAGTCTCCCAGGTTCCTTGCTCAAGTCTCCCAGGTTTCTTGCTGAGCTGCACTTTCTGAATCGCTGGCAGGAGCTGCTGAAGCCAGAAGACATCTTTTGAATTGTAAGTGGGTTGCAATTAGGCAGAATCTTGGTTCTAGGGCTGTTTGAGAATTTCAGACTCTGGGACTCTGAGGAAGAATAGGCAGGGGGATGATGGCGACACATCCTTTAATCTGCAATGCACCTCGTCCGGGTTTCCTACAGAAGGGCTGTGAAGGCAGTGTCAGCTTCACCTCAACTCCAAACTGCAGCGGCGGCAGGATCAGTCCCGCCTCGGTGCTAGTGACCGGGTCTCTGCTCAGCTAGTGGTGGGACCTCAGCTGTGTCACGTCTCATCTCATGTGTTAGAACCCACAGCAGGGATTGGTGGGGGGGGGGGGGGGGGTGGCTCCAAGAGGTGTTTATTACAGACACAGGCGGATACCACGATCATCTATCTTTCTTTTTTCCTTCCTTCCTTTTTTTTCAACCTTCAAATGCATTATTACTGGAATACATTCTTTGATGTATTTATTGTATAACTGCCAGGATGAGTTTTTGGCAAATCTGAGAGGGACCCTCTACCCATTTCTGTTCCTTCTACCCATCCCACTCTCTCTTAAGTACCAGGGTCTTAATCCCTTACTAGCCCTGTTCCCAGAGAATAATCCAGTGGCCCTCTTCACAGATTGATGTTCAGGAATTACATCAACAGAATGTCTTCTAAGAACATCTTCGTGGGGCTCAGCAGTGCTGGGAATCAGGTCCAGGGCTGTGTGCATGTTAGGCACAGGCTGCATCTCTGAGAGACACTCCCAGTCCTACATTTTAAGCTCTAGTTTGAACCACAGCAAGGGAATCAGAGTGTCACTGTGCAAGCTGAGAAGAGTTGAGAAGAGAAGGTGATGGATCCTCCCAGCTTGCCAGTGGACATGTGTAGGGCCACCCTAAAACCAGTACCTGTCACAACAGCACTGAACCCTGAGTAAGACTAATGATGTGAGACTCACAATTAGGCAAAAGTCACAGATACACACACCCACACCTACCCAGAATGCACATCGGCCAGGGGAAAGCTGTGTGGTTCCTATTAGGAATGTAGCATACTGGTCAAATTCTGACACTAGAACTTAACCCTAAGTCCTAGCAGCAGAGTGCTTTAAATTAAGTCTGTCCTGCAACCCCCATTTCCCAGGGCTGGTAAATAGTTAAGTATGGGTTCATGGATCAGCCACAGAAAGGCAGCAGCACAGTTAATATTTTAAGCATTTTAGAGTAGAGAGCTAGAAGAAAGTTCTGTGTCTAAAACAGTTTTATCATGCACCCCTCCCCCCCCAAAAAAAACCCCAAACCCTCTTGTCAAATTGGTTACAATACTGCTATTTGTCTAATGTGTTCGCTAAGATTGAGTTCCTGGCTCTCCATCCTAGCAGACAGCTAGACAGTGATATCTGGAGTCTACCTTCACTCTTTCCTTTCCAAGGAAGAAAGCTGTGGCATGGAGGACGTCGGCAGCGTGGGTGGAATTGTGGTAGGCATTGGAGGAGTGGTAATTGGCTTCGATCACTTGCAACCAGGCCCGGAGAGTGGTCTCAGTACAATTTAAAAATTCGCATACTCCAAACCGAGAGAAGACCTTTAAACCCAGGTACACCAGTGGCCTGAAAACAGGAAACAAACACGGGTTCACTGAGTTCAGGGGTCCAGGAAGTGCTTCCTCTAACGGCATTAGAGAATGGAGGAATTTGTGCATGATCACTCAAATGTGCTCCGGGCACAAAAACATTGGCAGCGTTTCCAGCTCCTTCTTTGCAACCAGGTGCCGCCTGGGAGTCAATCCAGATTATTTTTAGGTTATCTGTAAGTCACGAAACCTCTGTTGGCCCCTTTCCACCTCTACTTCCACAGAGTCCTGCATGTGCTTTATGTCTTAAGAAGAGCCTGAGGGCAAAAGGGACGGTTTGAATGGTTTCAGCAGAATCACCTCACTTAGAATTACGTTACTGCATAGATGAGTAGTTAATATTCCACAGACCAACATCCCAGGAAGAAATGTCTTCTCCTAAGACAAAAGAAGCTGCTCATCCTGCTGACAGGATGGGCTCAAAGAAAATCTACGCTACTATCAAATCCCCTTTGTGGGGGAGGTGGGTAGGTGGGTGGGAGGAAGGGAGGGAGAGAGGGAGAGAGAGAATATGAATTACAAATTTGTGTTGCCCGGGCTAGTCTTGAATCCCTGAGCTCAAATAACCCTCTTGCCTCAGTCTCCCAAATTGCTTATGTGTACGACTGAACCTGAATTCCAATCCATTTTTATAGGGCAGAGGGAAGAGAAAACTTCAAACTCCCAGCTCATGGGCACAAAGGAAGTAGCGTGAGGAAGTGCATGCCGGTCCTGTACCTTACCCACAGATACCTCCTCTCCATACAAGAGCATATTTGGGACACATAATTCCATCGAAGTTTCTAGATATGAAGGCTTGAGCGTGGCTGTCACCCCATCCCAGACTTCAAGCAGAGATGTTGCATACCTTTTATGTGTAACTGCTTCCAGTTCAAAGATATTGAAGTCCCAACTTTCCTCATTATCCAGTAACTGGGCGATACTAGGGGGGACATCATTGATGGTTATAGGCATCGAAAGGTGACTGTGACTCTGGTGTACATCTGAGCAGACACAGGGGTAGAGGAGGCAAGTTAGGTGTGGATTCGCCAGTGGCCTAAGCATTTCATTATCTTTAGGGGGGCCACTAGAAACAAAATCTTCAACTTCCACTGGTAGGGAGATTTTAATACCAGGTCTCTTCTCGTGTTATGAAATCTCAAGGCCATAAACAGAAAAATAACTCTAAGGCCCATTTAAATGTATGGAGAATGGCACTCCTTATCTAGTAAGGCTCTGAGAAATCATTTTAACCAGGAGGCTTCGCTTCAAATGTAGACCACAGAGAGGAATAAACTCATGAGACCCATTGGAAGCAACACCAAGACCATCATGGAATAGGAACAGCCCTAGGGGTAGCACAGGCTGAAGCTCAGTTATCAGTAACAAGCGACACATGAACACTTACTCTTTGTGAACACATACTCATTCCCGGACAGTCTTCTCAAGCCGTCCTGGAAGACAGAGATGCAGTTAGATGCATGCTTCGTGCCCATCATCATGCTCTTAAGCTTGTTCCTTAGCAAGAGGCTGAACCCTGACTGGCCCAAGCTGCAGTCCAGGTCAAGGCAGAGTTCAGAAGAGACAGGGGCTCCTCTATCTTCCATAGTACTAGTCCCAGGGGTGAGGGGATGGGGAGAAGCAGTCAGTCATGAGCGCCCGCAGGACTCACATCTGAGCTGTGAGCTAGCTCAGTTTTTATGGCCACTTTCTCTCCTGGCATTGTGAGGCCACATAAATGGAGTCAAAGAAGTGATCTTACTTTGGATATGTGTGATTTTGACCTGTCCAAAGTCCCTTATCTGTACCGAGACATTTTATGATCTCGTGTGTACATCATGAAAAGACCAAGAGCCATATTTGAAGGGAAGCCTTGTAACGTCTTTTTAAACACTGGGCCTTTTTTTCTAACTATGTTTTCTGCTGCGAAGCACAGGCATCGCTGCTAAGCTCTGAGAGACGTGCTTCTGGAGCTGAGATTTTTGAAGAGTGTGATGGGTGATCTTGACCGTCAACTTGGGTGGATCGAGAGCTGCATGAGCTATTAGTAAAACACAGCTGTGCAAGTTTGAGACTTCCTAGAGCTAAGGAGATCAGGAGGCTCTGACCTGATAGCTGTTTCAGTCCACTGACAGACTCAAAATCTGAATGTTAACTATCGAAACTGTTGTGAGGTAGCAGAATTGTGCAAAGCGGGGCTGGCCGTAGGCAGGGGGAGGTTGGTCCCTGGGTGCCCGGGGAGTCTATCGTGCCCTGGTCCCTGCCTGTCGCTGTTTACTCTGCTTCCTGTGCACCACGATGGACCGACCCTTGTGAAACTCTAGGCAGAAATACTCCCTTTTAAGCTGCTTTTGTCCTGGCCATGACCACGACGTGGCCATGAGAGTAAAAGTGGACAGGGTTTCAGTGCCCCGCCGTTTGCCGGCGCTTGAGCCTGAACCAGTCCCTGGGTGCTCTGGAACTTGCCTCCGCTCCAGTGCCTGAATCCCTCGTTATTTAAATCCTTGTATAAAAGTTTCTTGGAATTGCTTGTTATCCTTAGAAAATAAGTGCTAACGTTTAAAGTAGCATTAATTAATGCAGGACTCCCTTGAAGTCACACTTTGGATCTTTGTGGCGAAGATCTTAATCTTCAGAAAACAGATGAGCAGATAGAAAACTTCAGCCACAACTGTTCCGCCTCTGCAGCAAATGTGCATTTCTTGTTTTTCTCCACGTCCCTAAGCCTCATCCAAATGAGGTGGAGTCCCACACAGGCTCCTCCCAGCATCATCCAGACAGAAAGCACAAGATGGTAACAGCAGTGGCGGGGTGGAGGTGGGGGAACAGCTTGTTCTCAGACACAGAGTCCCTTGGTTATAACCCTGAAGGGACTGCCCCTTATCATCACGCTTTAGAAACTGAAGCTACTGCTGCATTGGAACGGGCCAGCCAGTGCCAAGCCTATGGACCAGAAACAACAGAAGGCCACGCCAAGTACAGGTGAGAATGGGCTGGGCAGCCAGTCAACCCAGCTTTTTGGAGGCTGGCTAGAAAAAGAAATCTGCAGAGACCGGGATAACTCAGGGTCATATTTCTTCCCTAGAGAATCCTCCCAGCTCGGCTTCTGAGGAAGGAGCATGATGAAAAGTTGGACTTTCCTTCTTCAGTTGCGGACAGGTGATGTTCAAAGCCAAGAACACAACAATAGGGTAAAGTGGACCTTAGCCATCGGCCTCTGGGTCCACAGCCTAGTTATGTCTCAGATTACTGGCAGGCACGGTCCTCCCATGTCCCTGCTTTGAGCGCAAAAAGCACCATTCTGCTACTGTATGATTAGAAATGGAACTTGAGCTGGGCGGTGGTGGCGCACACCTTTAATCCCAGTACTCAGGAGGCAGAGGCAGGCGGATCTCTGTGAGTTTGAGGCCAGTATGGTCTACAGAGCGAGTTCTAGGAAAGGCAGGACAATTATACAGAAAAACCCTGTCTTGAAAAAAACAAAACAAAATGAAATGGCTGTGAACTTCTCAAAATACAGAACTGTCACTGGAAACAGGTATCATCTAGACACAAACCCTTTCATTAAACAGTCATTCCTTGGAGTCCTCACAGGGGTCTATCTACAGAGCCACCCCTGTCTTAGTAAACCCGGCGGACCATAAGCATCTTCTGTAAGATAGAATCATAACTACACATAATAAATGTACATCCTTCTGTGTAAAATCTTGGGATTGTTTATCGTATCCAACAGTGAAAATGCATGTACTTGTTCCACAAAAATGTACCCCTCCCTTCCTCCTTCCATCTCCCTCCTCTCTCTCTCTCTCTCTCTCTCTCTCTCTCTCTCTCTCTCTCTCTCTCTCTGCCTTTCTCCCTTTCTCTCTTTCTTTCTCCCTCTTTCCCTCTTTGCCTCTCTCCATCCTGTCCTCCCTTCCACAGAGTCTTACTGTGCATTGCTGTGGGATGTCCTGTATGCTGTGAATATATGTTGCTATGATTGATGGATAAATAAAATGCTGATTGGCCAGTAGCCAGGCAGGAAGGATAGTATAGGTGGGACAAGGAGAGAGGAGAATTCTGGGAAGTGTAAGGCTGAGGTGGAGAGACGCTGGCAGCCACCACGAGGAGAAGCATGATGTAAGATACCCGTAAGTCACAAGTCACGTGGCAACTTATAGATTAATAGAAATGGGTTAATTTAAGATGTAAGAACAGATAGCAAGAAGCCTGCCACGGCCATACAGCACACAGGTGCTTCTGCTACCTGAGGCCATAGTGCACTGTGAAGACTCTAGAGGGTATGAGCCAGCACTGTGCATTTCTGGTTTTTCCTTATCACTTACAGTCATCAGACCTCCAACAAGATCACTGGTGTGAGGGTCTTCATCTTTGGTTCCGAGCTGAGGGGAGTACAGTTCTGTGGTCCGTAAAATTTCTAGAACTCTGTCCAAGGCTTCTGCTACTGTAACTGGGCTGTTCTCTTGAGCTGCGTTGATTATATTTATAACCTAAGAAAGCCAAAAGAGAAAGAATAAACTTGAGGATACTACTTACTTCTCAGAAGTCAGACATATTCAGAAGAAATCAGTGACCACACGCCTAGCTTAGAGGGCACTCACTTCACCTTCCTTTCTGAAGCATGCTCTACAGCCCACACCGCCCCGTGGTATCCCACCTCAGGACCCTGCTTCCCAGGATCCTTTGCTGACGACCTACCCTAGCTCTCCTCCATAGGTTGGAGTTCCTTAGATATAGGTTTGGGTCTCTATCTCTCTTAGATATAGGCCATTCCAGAAATGACCTTTCATTTCCATGACTCTGGGCACACACACAATCCACAATGAGATCCATAATGAGATTTTCAAGTTTACGTTCCAGACTCCAGACTTGGAGAGTTTCAAAAGCCTTACTAACTCACCTACTACAATATCTTCTGTGCCTAAAATCAAAGCCCAGCCTTATCCCCCTTCTCACAAATCAAGCAAATGGTAATATCATGAGAGACCAGCTCTTCCCCTGGGCTGAAGACAAGTACTCTTCTAACCAAGGCCTGCTCTGTCCCTCACACATCTTTCCTCATTTCTCAACCCATCCTTGCAACTCACCAAGTCCAAGTGGTTCTCCCCCTAGACATTTTCTGATCTCTTTCTTTCTCCCCACCTCTACCACCTCAATGCTAGCCAAACTGCCACTACCATTTCTTGCCTGCAATTCCAGAAAAGGCCCAAATGATCTTTTCCCTTGTTTTGATCTGACCACTTCCTACCCATCCTTAGCATGGTGACTGAACTCTTTACAGGGGCATGTGGACCTGACCATGTCGTATCTATCTAAACTCCTTCAAAGGTTTTTACTACACACAAGATACAAACCACCTATTTTTGGTCCAAGTGACCAGAATGAACAGAGCCAATATAGCTCTGCCATAATCATCTCGCCTCTGCTGGCCACACCCCAGGCTCCTGGCTTCTGCTCAGTCCTGTGGACCATTTCCGTGCAACTTCAGCGATGGACCTTCTCCATGCTGGGCCTTGCTGCTCCCGCCCCAGAAGTCTCCCTCTTACCAATGTGATTCTCAGGCTTTAGTTTGGCTGCAAACATGACTTCCCCCAGCCTTCCTCTAGACGTACTCTGACGTCTCTCACAGAGCCCTTCATGGCACTGACTGGATTGTGTAACCACGTCTGTTTATTATGTGTTTGCTTAATACCTGTCTTTCCCACGAGGTTGTTAACTCTGATCTAGAGCACAACCCAGGCCTGAGCACCAGCTGTGCAGTGGAGGTAGCAGCTGTCACTTACCTTTGTGATGGGGGCCTCTATGGTCATGGAGTGGATCCTTGCCATGGATGGGTAGCGTCGATTCTGTAGGCTTGGAGCTGGAGAGAAGGCAGGGCAGTTTTATCTGGAGCTAGTGGTTTGGTTTAGGTTAAATATAGCTGAGAAGTCCTCTCATAGATGAGGCCTTGTTCTTCTAGGACCTCCTTCCCCACAATTCAGTGCATTTGACCATCCCTTGTCCCTACAGGGCTGACCACTCAGCCCCACAAGCATGGAAGGTGCTCTGTCTGACAGTCTAATGGTGGAGGGCTTGGCATGACCCACTCCCCAGGGGGATTCTGAGAAGGCTAATAGACACTGATGCCTTGTCTCTATAGCCCAGAGACGTCACAGGATTCCCTTTCCCATGGTCACTAAAACCTCTTTCAGATAGTCCTGCCCTTTCCTTCCAGAGACACAGGACACATGAGTGTGCACCTGCCCCATGTCAGAACTGGAGAATAAGTGTCTCCGTATGAACTGGCCAGCCATGCTCCTTCCTCAGCCATCAGGTTCATGATGCTCAGAACCTAATGGTTCTGACTCTAACTGGGACAGACTGATTTTAAAATGACTTTGTTTTTTGAGTAGGTGACTCTTAGATGTGGTTTAAGATTCAAATAGTAGAAGCCTTCCTTTAAAGGCCTGTCTTCATCAACTCTTTAACCTTCCCTGTGGGGCACCCTAGAGGTCAGACCAGCTCCAAAGAGGGGAGCTTTATCGAGTCACCCTCAATGGGGCTCTAGAATCCGGGGTTCAGCCATTGCCAGCCTCTGTTGTACTTCCCAGTTCCCACCTTTCCTGTGTGGGACCACAGAGCTGCTCTATGGTCCAGCCTGGGTCAGATGCCCTCAGCCATTGTCCTCTCTAATATGCTCTGTCTATCTCATGATCCTGCTCTCTGTGACTTGCATGCCACCTGCCAGTCTGTCCTGCTCTGCAGATTCTCTAGCTTGTCTCTAGGGTCTTCAGTCCTTCCATTGCGACCCAAAGGACTGGGAAGTCTGTCACTTCCTTCCCCTGACCTTTCCATTTATTCTTTTAAACTACACCCTCCCCTCCATCACAGGACTAATGATTCCTTCTCAGGCCCTTGGAACTGCCTTTCCAGTTGCCAAATTAAAACAAATCTAATGTGGGCTGGAATGTGGTTCAGTGGTACAGAGCTTGCCTAACGTGTATGAGATCCTGGGTTCTATCCTCAGCACCACAGGAAAACCAGACAGACACACACACACACACACACACACACACACACACACACACACACACACACACAACCTGCTCTCTACTCTCCAGCTCACATTCTGCAGCTCCCTTCCACTCCATTCTCTTTCCTTCTGGGCTCTTGGAATACCACTCCCACATTTTCTCTCTCCTCCCACATTCCTCTGTTTCTCACAAGGGTGCACCTGCAGATTTGACTCAGACCCTCTGCTCTTTGCCCTCCCACAAGCGCTCACATGTGCACAGCCCTTGGCAAAGCCTCTCTGCAGCCCCAGAAACTTCAGCCCTGCCCTTGCCCTTGCCCTTCCCCAACCTCAGCCCCAGCCCCTGCCCCTGCCCCAGCCCCCGCCCCTGACCCCGCCTCAGCCCCTGCCCCTGCCCTGGCCTTGTCCTGCTCTGCAGCTTCCCAGGCACCCTCTTCCCCTCAGGCCCAAATGAGATACACCTGCCGACCCTGGCACTTCTGTGTCTCCCATCCTCCCGACTCCCGGGAATGACTTTGCAGGTTGATGCTGCCCTTTCCACCCCCACAAATCCAGCTGGTTACGTGGGCTTGATTCATTAAACTCACAGAGTGTTTCCTGAGATCCTGACTCACTTTCCGGCCTTTCATTAATGGGTGTGTGTTAAGTCTAGGAAGCCAGGACCCTGCCTGGCCCCTGCCACCAGCACCCAAGGATGACCTTGCCTAGAGGCTGAAACTGCTTGGCTTGTGTAGTCATGTGGTCTGACACACGTTGGGCCACCCATGGTCCCCTCAGGGAGAAGAAAACGACTCTAGCAGGCCAAGGTGTAAGGAATACATGTAAGGCCTAGGGTGAACAACCCTGGTCAGGAGTGATAAGCAATAGAATGATGTAAGTAAACCACAAATGGAGTAGTGATGAGCTATAAGCTATGTGTGGAAGTAGGGGTAAGACTAGAAACCCAGCCTGGAAAGAATATAAAAGATGAAGCCTCAGACCCGACCAACAGAGCTCGTCAGGCCCTCACGTGAAACGACTCTCCTCCGCCAGAGACATGAGATCCTGTCCCCAGTGCAGATGTGGCTGACCTGAGGAAGGCTGACCCAAGATCCAGAGGAACAGACGTAGCGAGTCCGGACCTGTACACCCGGAGAGGTACTCCTGCTTCCATTTGAAAGACAGGATGAATATTGCTTGTAATCTTACTGTGTGAATAAATGAGTGTTATACCAAGTCTGAATCAAGAGTGATTATTCTTCCCCCGTAACTGGGGTATGTGCTTGCTACACAAGGGAATTTATTTACTTAAATCCTAAAATGTTCTCCATTTATCGGAAGAAAAGTCTACTCCAGTTGCAATCTTTTCTCCTTGGAGTTTCTATGTGGATGAAATGTTTGCTCGTTCCCTCTGTCATTTTCTACACTTTCAAAAGGTCAAGGATATCGGAGGAACTTCTTACCATCGCTGCCTCGAGAAGATATTGATTTCACATCAATGGACTCTTTCCTTCGGCTCTTGTGTCTGAATGAATGAGGCTCTGGGGAGTTCAGAGGAGAGACAGAGGTCAGCTGTCAGCGTATTAGAGTGCGAACTTACACCTTTCCCCTTATGCTCTAAAGAAGATTTGAAGCTCTAGAAAGCAAATTCAAGAATCGAGAAACTACTTTCTCTTCAAATCAACACAAAATGATCAGTCACACACAACATGACCTAGTGCGAAAACAATGTCTTTTTCTTCTGGGACTACGTTACATTGTGGAAGCAGTGTTTGTTATGGGCTATTTAGTGCCATAACTAAAACGTCATCCTGAAAATAAAACTTAAAGGAAATGTTTGAGGGGTTCATCTTGACTAAAGGGCTCCACTCGCCTGGGTAGGGAAGCTCTTAGGAGAATAGGCAGGGAGAAATACAATCCTAATGAAATCCATAGATATTTGCATTGAGAAGCTAGTTGGGACAAGTCTGGGACACTTCTGAAAGTCAGGCATCCATCTACCTTCTCTGGGAATGGATTTCATCAAGTGACTGTGTCCTGCTGACCATGGGAAGGGGGACTCAACACTGAAATGTTCTGTGGTGCTGATGCCAGAATCACACATCACCAATGAACACCAGGTTGTTAAAAGATGCCAAGGTGACAGTGTTGGCCTCAGAAATGTGCCCTGCGGGCACATTTGCTTCCTGAGAGTAACTCCTGAATGAGAAGTGTAACCATAAAACAGAACCACTCTGAAGAGAAGGCAATTCAAGAGCCAGCAGGAGGAGTGTAGTTCTCAGGGGCCATTAAATAAGGAGATGTAAGCAGGAAAACCACCACGGTGCCACAATGCTCACTTCCATAAGAGTTGCCTGTGGCACCAAAAAGGTTGAGGCAGCCTAATACTGAAGAAACCAACTCTAGAGGCAAACTGTGCAGGTTCTGGCTTAGTTTGCCAAAGAGTAGCTGTACAGCCTTGGAGACGTTACTTAACTGTTTTGTGTCTCAGCATCTGCAAAGGGGATAATTAGAGTTTCTCATTCAGAGGCTGTTGTGGGCAGTACCTGAGTTAATCCCCGAGCAGCCCTTAGAATAGTGCCTGCCACACAGTAAGCCTACAGAGTGTACCTGCTATCGATTACATTGGTTCGTTTGTACAACACACAAAAATGATTCAAAGCTAGATGCTATTATTCTTCCTGATTTCATCTCTTAGATTCTAAGACTTGACAGCAACAGAACTAGTTATGTCTGAAGAAGTTTTTCTTCAGTGAGGTGCATTTAAATTCGAGAATTCATTGTTCATTCTTTTTTTCTCTATATAATTCTGGCTGTCCTAGTACTCACTCAATAGACCAGGCTGGCCCTGAACTCACAGAGATCTGCCTGCCTCTACCTCCTGAGTGCTGGGATTAAAGGCATGCACCACCACCACCTGGGTCATTATTCATTCTTAACAGATGCCCATAGAATGAAGTAAAATTTTTAATCATAGAAAAGAACTCAGTGGCAAAGGGACTCTGCCTCCCATTAAAAATAGTTACTTACTGAGAACCTACTGTGCATCAGACATTGTGCTGTGTACTTTAAATATAACGATGATCTCATTTAACAATTACATCCTTTCTGAAGGTTACATAGTCCTAGTCCCAGGATACCCACAAGGAATTGAGACTGGAAAGACTAGGAGGGTAGGACAAGGTTAAAGAACTGATAAGCAGTGGACTGTATGCTTCCCAGGAGGGAGACCTTTAACTGATGAAGGACCTCTGAGCATTGGCTGAGTGTCTATGATGTGCAAGGTCATGCTAGGCACTGTAAGGGACAGGGGGATACTTATTGCAGCTTTTTGGGTAGTACCTTCTAAATGTGATATAAATTAACGGAAATATTTGAGAGAGGGTGCCCGCACATGAATCGTCATTGTACCAGTCAAGGTTGTTCTGGCCTAGGAAACATTCGAAAGGAGAAGAAAGATGGTCTACAGCTAAGTGCATCTTCTTTGGTCATCACAGCAACGAGGCAGGTGCTGTTAATTCACTTTGCAAATGAAATTCTGAAGGCCAGAAAGCGCAAATGAATTCATTCAGTGTAGGCTAACTGTCATTATTCTGGAATCAAGGAGAAGAACTGTCCAACTAATCCAGGGTCTAATCAGGTGCCCAGACAGAAGAGAATGGTTGAAGGCCATCGTTACAGGAGAAAGAAGATTTGCAAAGCTTTTGTAATTAACTTTTTCCCTCTCCAGTGGTCAGATAATTCTAGGCCTTCCACCAAGCAGATTTCCACCAAGTCACCCTTTCACTTTGTAGATAAAGAAACCAGAGATCTGACTGTTGTTCAAGGTCTAAGATATGAGTAGGGAGCTGAAATGGAAACCCAGTGCTTAGCCTCCTGGATCAGCGTCCAGCCACATTTCCATTTGGAAAAGCAGTCACCAACTACTACTGAGAAAGGGAAGCAAACATGGGCAATCCCTAACTGTGCTCTCACCTGTCCTTGATGGTCTGCCTTTCCTCTAGACCACTCTATGCTGGCTTCATCTGCTCTACATGGTCTCTAGCCAATAAAAGAAAATCCAGAAGGGGAGGGCCTTAGGAGGGAAGGCTACCACAAACCAAGAGATTTGTAAAGGATTCCTGCTGTCCCTCTGGCTCTCTAACCCTCCAATACCAGCACTTAGATTTCCAGCAGTCCCCATTCTAGGAGGAAAAATGTCATCTTGAACCCCTTCTGAGCAAAGATAAACTGGGTCGACCAAGCACCCCTCAGCAGAGAGTAAACATTCAATGCTCTCACCTGTTTGGGAGTTATCCCCGGAATCACGATGGATCCTGTGAATCTAGAGTCAGTCCGAAGTTTGGGTAAGAGAGAGAGAGAGAGAGAGAGAGAGAGAGAGAGAGAGAGAGAGAGAGAGAGAGATTGTATGTCATTTGTCGAATTCCACAACTTAGTTAAAAGGCTCTGAAGACTTCCAGAAAGCAAGGTGTTGCACGCATTGCATGACAGGATGAGAGACACACACCAAGTGTAAGACCACAAATGCTCTATTGCTTTCAGACACTCGGTCAGGAGCCTAAGAGCAGGAAAGGGCCCAAGGGCGGAACTCTCCAGGTAGACCTAAATCTCCCGCTAGCTAGCAGCTCATCTTGACAGTCTGTAGAAATGCTGAAGGACAAAGGCCAGGACTCAAGTCAGATTTTAATAACCCAATATGTAACCTGCTTGTTTCAGGCAGGTCACGTTTGTTTTCTGAAATACAAAGTCCGGCTTACATCTAAAATTTCTGTGTTTTAGAACTGTTCCTGAAATGTTCCTCAATTGCTGGCAGAGTCAATTGATGAACCATTTCCTCACGAGGCCTGAACTTTAGCTGCCACTTTGCACCTAGTTCTTTTTCTCATTATCAGGTTTGCTTCATGCTAATGATTTGGTGCAAATGTTCAATAGACATCGGCCAAATGACCCAACGAAGTCATCAACACGAGGAAGAACACACATGCGTTTCATGGATTCTGCATCTCTTGCATTTACAATTGACTAAGGCCCTGCTGGTGGGCACATTGCCATTCACACTTAGAATCCCACTGCTTCTCTGCTAAATCCATCTGCTTCCATCCAGGGCTTGGGCCAGCCAACCTGTGCAGCACTCAGTGCAGAGGCAAGGTTAAGTTTTAACAAGACAGGAGACTGAGGGGGGGGGGGGGGCGGGGAATGACTGACAGTGAAGGAAGACTAGCGTGACTTTGCATCATCTGTGATGGCCGGGAAGCTTCCTTATGTTAGACATAGGCAAAATGTCCCAGGCTTCATTGAACCATTGAAGAATAACAAGGTAGGGCTGGGGAGATGGTTTGGTCGGTAAAGTGCCTGCCACATAAGCTCTGAGTTCAGATATCTAGGATCCGTGTAAAAATCTAGATGTGGTGATGTGCGTCTGTTATCCCAGTGCTATGGGGTAGAGAGAGGCCTGCAGCCCATTGGCCAGCCAGTCAAACTCAATCCATAAGCTCCAGATTCAGTGAGATACCCTCTCGCAAAAAAATAAGATAGAGGGTGACTAGGAAGAAACTCATATCAACTTATGGCCTCCACAGGCATCCATGTGTGAACCTGTATGCACACACCCACATAAGCATGCACACAAACACACAAAAACAGCCAGGCCAACTGAGGTGTTAAAATGAGGCTTCCTACAAAACCCTTCTGCTCGGTCCATTTCACATCTTCACAAAATGTCCATACAGAATCCATGGCCCACCTGTGATATCTCGGTCATGTTAGTCATGGCTGTTGACTCTCACCCCATAATTATGGCACCTTTTATGATTTCTTCCATGAACATCATTTCATGTTTTCCTTCAGGATTAAAGACCGTGTTCTACAAAGCCACCAAGCTCAATGCACATTTTTATATGTTCAATATGAATAAAACCCTTGCCTCATTCTTTCTCCTCAGTCAGTTCTCACTTAAAAGCTTTCTGTCTTTAACCAACATACATACGCCTCTAGGAGCAAAGCCCATGGCTTCCCATATTATGAAAAACAAAAACAGTAATAAACGCCCCCAAACTCCCTTCTCTCGTTTCTCATAGGCTCACAGCTCATCAAAATGGCTCCCATGGCCTCTACTGTGGGTCATGTGTTCTCTCTAGATTGGAACCAGCACAGTTCTAATTGGGGATTAAAAATGTGTCCCAGCCACTGAGGGGTGGGGTGGGGTGGCCCAGAGAGGTAGAGCACAGGTACAATTCCATTGGCTGGCATGGCTCTGGCCCATCTTTTTCCACATACAATGTTTAGCGCTTGGTGCTTTGAGCTGAACTTGCTGCCTCCACATGAGCACACTGGCCTCTGGTGGGCTCTGTACCCACTGCCAGCAGCAGGGGCTAGAGACCCTCCATGCTTCACAACAACAGTCTTCCAGGCTGTATCAGCCTCCGCACAGGGATGCTATGTTGGGGACCCACTTTACCATCCTCTGTACAGAGGAGGATGGGGAGCTCCCCTCCTATCACATCCCATCAAGCTTGGGCTTTTCAGATTAAGTTCTCTGACTGATGATCTACATGCCTCATCTGAGTACCCTCATTTTACAGGATTCACATGGACGAAAAAAAAAAAAATCCCCACTCAGAACAAGAATCTCCCCCGGAGATCTAAGTTTATAATTCAGTAGGAATTATTCCAAAATGACTTCCCTCTTAACCCTTAGTGGATTTCATGGAGAAATCAAGCAAGGAATGGGTAGCACCATAATCTTTGATGGGTCCAGGAGAGGCTCAACCCTTAGTGGATTTCATGGAGAAATCAAACAAGGAATGGGTAGCACCATAATCTTTGATGGGTCCAGGAGAGGCTCAGGGACTTGAGGGGCAGGGAGAGGGATGAACTTCGTCCCACGACCACAGCCGTTTCTTGTGTTAGCCGAGCGCTGGCAGCTTTCTGCTTACAATTGAATCATCACAAACCATTCCCTTGGACACGCAACCATTCCCTTGGACACGCAACCATTCCCTTGGACATGAATGGCCGGGAAACTGAGGTTTAAAGTTTGATTACCACACAGGTAGTGCACAGAACTATTAACCATGGTTTCTCTAGTTTGATAGCCCATTGCCTGTTATATAGCTCTTCAGGCAAAGGGCTCCAGCGTGTTGTCCCAGGCCTGACTTATCATCTTACAGCCTGGAACTACCTCACAGATCAGCACAAACAGCCTTTCCCCAGAATTCTGGGAAGGTATGAGCTTTGTCACGTGCTTTAGCAAGATCAGGATTCCCCATCCTCAGGGTTGTCACTTTCTCTAGCGCACACACGTTTTCCTTCTTGTCAAGGTTAAAATGTAGTGTGTTCCTGTGCAGGAATGCCTGGGCATGGTGACCACACGCGCTGCTGCTGGAACCACAGGCTTTGAACGCGATGGTTTCTGCAGTGAATTCTACTGTCCTCGGTCCGTGAAACGGTCAGAGCTCAGAGCTGTGATTTTCCAGCAAGTCTTTGAAGCTTGCAGCTTGTGTGTGTGTGTGTGTGTGTGTGTGTGTGTGTGTGTGTGTGTGTATGTGTGTGTAATTATAATTTTAAACCCTTAATTAAAATATCATAGGTTGCCACAAAATTTGCTGCCCTGTGCTTAAATGCTTTATTTACTAATGCCTGATTATGCTCGCCTTCACACGATCCACCCTCCCTTTCTGGCCGGTTCTTCCTTTTCCATAGTCCTAGAGATAGTTTCTGGTCCTTGGACATGAAGGCCAAGTTCCCTGTCATGGAGCTACACCTTCAGCCTGTAGTTATACTCAACTCTAAAAAGCACTACAATCTCCCCCCCCCGCCCCGTGTGTGTGTGTGTGTGTGTGTGTGTGTGTGTGTGTGTGTGTGTGTGTGTGTGTATGTGTATGTGTACAATTTCAGGGTCATTTGTTTCTTAAAGAATATTCCTTTACAATCGATACTCTCAGTTTACTGTGGTGTGAAAGCCTCTCAGGTTGACTTAGACCCACACGTCGCAAACTGTGGGTCACAATTGTATATGGGCATATGGGGTCATGGGAATGTGGGAAGCATGAAATATTTGGCAATAATAAAAAGCTTTCTGAATGCGCAGGGACCAAAATTAATTCAAAAACAGCACACAATCAATCCAGGTGTTCCAGCAGTGCTTGCTTGCACTGCATCACATGACTTCACCAAAGCCTTGGTCCAGAACACCAACTCGGGCAGTTTGCACCACACACACCACCATCCACATGGTGCCAACAACGCTGCGCGCCGCACCTCAGCTCAGACTCCAGGCTGGTGTATGTTATGGATTTCTATTTTTTTCTGCTCTGATGGAAACATTAATTATAGAAAAGATGATTTACTATGACCCTATCATTGTTCCTCAGCATGTAAGTATCATTCAGTATTTCCTTGGCTTGTACTGTGTCGGGATGTTTGATTTTCAAAGTGAGTAAAACATCATGATTTTATTGTCTTAGTAACAAAGTCAGCTTAGATCAGGGTGGCATGGGCCTTTCTCTCCTTATCCTTCTCAGTCCAAGATGCTCTCAACTATTAGCAGGCAAAGTCTCCCTGAGACCAGCGTACCACACTCAAGTCTCAGCAAATCTTTCTGAATGTTGACTTGGGTTAGGATAGGATATCTGATAACTTCTGAAATGGCCCCAAGTGTGCTTCTATCCTTTTGTACTATATATTTTTGTGAATTGGTATTCTCAACATTGATGGTTATAAAATTAAAATATTGACCGACCCTCAAAAACCCGGAAAGTGATCTGTGTTCTGCAATATTGAATGCTCAGCCAACATTTAGTCCTTTATGTAAAAGTAAATCTAATTGGTATACAAATTTGCTGTTGTCTTTAACACACGTTAAAAGTATGCACATAGTAAAGAACTGTTTTAAATTCTCTGTATGATTTATTATCAGTAAATGTTTGACTTATATATCTATTTTCTGTACCTATCGTGGATAAAAAGAAATTGTTAAGTGGAAAGGGTTTATGACATTCTTAGATTATCTTACAAGGGACAAAAATCCCAGATGTCATGAAGCTGGGTAAGTTTCAGTGATACTGAATTTAATATTTTTTTCCACATTTTCAGGGATTTCCATTGGCTTCATGAATCTCCATCAAGTCCTTGAATAAATGATTTTCTACATTTAAAGGAAGATCATATCCCCTCTTTACCCAACAGAATAGCTGAGAAGCAGCTGTCAAGGATAAACACTTGGAATACTCACATGTTAGGGGGAGGATAGAATCACGCAATCCCTTTGAATAAATACCCAGTCTGGCTCTTTTGTACCAATTTATAAGTACATCTCCATGACAA